TCCACAGTAGCTGAGAGCAGCATGGCAGATTCCTGTCCGGGTGGACAGAGATGATGCAGTCACTTGGTGCCCCATGCTTCAATTGCATATTAGCAGAATCCATCATATTTCCCAAGGGTGGCTTCAAAGCCTTGTAAGTGTGTCATGGATGGCAGGAAGACCATCACAGGAGCTTTTTTTGCTGTGTAGGTGCACCAAGTCACCCTGCAGCCATCTCTGATGAGGAGGTGCCAGGCTGGCTGGCCTGGCACAGCAACACTCCCAGGAAGCGTCAGCACATTGCTCAAAGGCGTTTGATATAAATAGATGGGCGGCTCAAAGTGAAAGCTGCAATCCTCTATGTGCCAGCACGAGACAGGAGTGGGTAAACACAGGTGGCTGCTGTGTCCGCCAAACGCAGCTCAATGACACCAGCAGCATCTCACAAGTGTGGCCCAGTGACATAAATATCCTCAGCATGGCTACGAGGTGGGGAGCAGGGTGAGCAAAGCCCACAGCTCCGATAGAACGGCGGAGTTAGCAGAGATTATGGGGCTACTGGTCTCCTTGTCTTCCATACAAATCCACGCCTGGGAAGTTAAGGACCTTGAAAATGATGGCAGGGATTGAGCTGACCTTGAGAGTGGGCTGGTATATCCCTGTGGTGCCAGGGATATCTGCTTGGTAGCAGTCCCTGCAGAGTTTGGGGGCTGGTGGTGCAGCTCTCAGCCTGAGGGCACAGTGAAGTCAGCTTTTTACTGAGAAATTACTTTCAGCTGCATGCAGGTGGGGTTAAATAGCAGATGAAAGTCAAATATTTACAGATTCAAATTAGCACACTGATCTTCCGGGTTGGGAAACCTTGAGCACCAATTCCTATGCTGAACAGAAATGTTGGTAAGCTGTGGCTTTGCCCTGCTCTGGTTTTGCTACGGAGAGCATGGATCAGCTAGCCTTGTTTCCCAGTGCTGTCCTTGAGGGACACCAGTTCCCTTGGGTTTCTGATGCCAGTCTCAGTGGGTGAAAGTCCTGGGGTGTGTTGCCAGGTTTTTAAGGCCAGGAAGAACAATGATCTCCATTAAGCGGATGTGTTCCATAATAGGGACTATTGTGACTCTTGCATTCTTTGGTCACCATTTGGGTGGTTAATTACCCTTGCTCTTAAGTAAACAGATAATTGTGCCCTATTAAAGGGAGGATGTTGAAGAGACAAAAGATGGGGTAGGGGCTCTGGTTATCTCAACTGCAGTACCTCCTCATGGACCTGCCATGCATGAGGGCAGATGGTTGATATACCAAGAATGGTGCTGCATCTCCAGGCCATGGGCCACCACTGGAGCTCTGCCTTGAACCTCCTACGACACTTTGAGGAGCCTGTCTCTATGGATCTGGGGTGACTTCTGATGAATTTGCATGACTCAGTGAATAGGGAATTGATCACTTGCCAGCAGGGCTGGCGTCACCAGCCAGTGTGAGAGAAATTTGATCAGAACAACCAGTATTTATTGAGGTGCTGGCACTGGAAGGGAAGCACCCTGGTGAGAGCCCTGGGGAAGAGGCTGGGACTGGAGAGCCTGGGTTTCCCAGCAGATTTAGGCAGCAGGATCAGAGCAGCCTCAAGCTGGTAGAAGCAGAAATCCTTATTGCCCTTATGACTGCTATGCCATTGTTCCTAGTTTTGCTTTGCATTGATGCTCACAGATGTACTGGTTTTAACTGAGATGCTGGAAGCTGTTCCAGTGATAAGGAGTCTGTCAGGACAGAGATGTGTAAGCTCATGCTGTGATGTCCCCACTTTATCCTTTCCAAAGCCCTCAGTGATAAGAAAGGTAGGAAGATGAAGAACCACAAATTCACACTTTGAAGAACTCTTCTGTTCACATAAAATAAGGGGCAAAAAAGCCTGAGTGTGTTTTCCCATCCTCCCCAGGGTGGCCCACAAGACTGAGGCTGCCTTGAAGTTGCCCCAGTAGAGATGCAGGATTTGGGACTCTTCAGGGGGTTAAGGAAAACTCTCCTGGATGGGTACCTGCACGTGACACAGGTGCTCTGTCTGTGATGTTGATTGGCTGTGGATTGCTTCTGCGGCATCAACCATGCAAAGTGGCACAAGCTGTGCTCCAAAAGCTGGGGAATAGGCCAAATAGGACTGGAGCAGCAGCCTGGGGTGAGCCACACAAACTGTGTCCCTGTGGGGTGACAGTGATAACAGGTGACAACAACCCCTTCTAGTTGTCAGCAGAGGTGTGCCACAGACTTCACAAGCAAGAGCGAAGTGAGCCTCTTGTCAACTTCCCAAGGATGGGAAAGCCCGTGCCAGCCCCTTCAGCTCCCTGTGGCTCCCAGCACATGTGCACGCCACCGGGCTTGTGCCTCCCTGCTGGCACAGAGCCAAGCTGCTTGCAATGAGGGAACCAAACCACAGCAGCCAGGAGGATTTTGCAGGCTCTTTCATTAACCTTGGCCCAGATAGAGTTTGGTTTAATAATCCCCTGCACAGATTGCCCAGATCAGGGCATTTGCTTCATCTCTGAGATGAGAGACAGAGAAAACCATCAGGAATATAGTTTTTTTCGGCAAACTTCATTATCTCCATGACCCATCTGACAGATTGGCCTAGGAAGGGGGGCAGCTGCTTTGCTCCATGCCAGACACAGCTCACATTCCTCCCATCTCCAGCACGGCTGCTGCGCTCACTCAGCTTATGAAGCCTGCCCTACTTTGGATCAGCCCACAGCATCTTTGATTTTGAGGTCAGTGACAGCTGCTGGCTAGCCTGCACGCCCTTACACCGTGTTTACTTTTTAAGCAGCACAATGTAAATTCAGAACTAAAAGCTTCCTTGAGCTGCTTTAACTGTTTCAGTATTCCTGCAGAGGAACTCGGTATGAATTGGGATGGAGTTCAAGCCTCCATATAGCTGTGGTTTTGCACTGAATGAGGCTTCAGTTCTGCTTAATTCTGAATTTGATTATTGATCCCTCACTAATAACTGAAGAGGAGACTGTGAGGACTTCATCATGATCTACAACTTCCTCTTGAGGGGAAGCAGAGGGGCAGGCACTGATCCCTTCTCTATGATGACCAGTGACAGAACCCAAGGGAATGGCATGGAATTGTGTCAGGTGAGGTTTAGGTTTGATATTAGGAAAAGGTTCTTCACCCAGAGAGGGTGGTTGGGCACTGGAACAGGCTTCCCAGGGAAGTGGTAATGGCATCAAAGCTGCCAGAGATCACAAAGTTCCCAATGCTCTCAGGCGCATGGTGTGACATTCTGGAGTTGTCCTATGCAGAATCAGGAGCTGGACTCAATTATCCTCCTCAGGGATATTCTATTATTCTATGAATTTGCGATAATTGCTTTATGTTGGGCTCCCACATAATCTGTAATCTCCTGTTGTGCCTTTTTCTTTGGGGGATGGAGAGGATCTTTGCAATTCTCTGATGACCTTCTATAGCCTCTCCCCTTTGGGGGATACTGAGCTTTTCTGGTGAGGTGTTTGCCCCATGCCACTGACAATGCACCCTCTGCCAGCCCTTCCCTGGACAGAGGCACCGTGACACACCCTCCAGTCCTTCTCCATTGGCCAACCCTGCCTCACTGGGAGAGCCTTAGCCCTGTGGTGACAGGCAGCTGGAGAGCAGCAGGAGGCCAGCAAGTTGTCATCTCTGTTCTGGGAGAACATGCTGTTCCCTTCTGCGAATGACTCGGGACAAAGGAATTTAACACAGAATTTCCTCCTTAAGAGCTCAGCCTTTGTTCTGGCCAGATGCTTCTGGGAAAGGGATTTTGGCCAGCTGGGATGCAGGAGGAGGGCAGACAGGACGGGATGTCCCTGGGTAAGGGTGCTGAGAGCTTGGATCCCTTTATTTCATAATTTCTGCTAATGGCTCTGGCACAGATTTCTGTAGCTGGCTACCAGGGAAGTTCTGAGATGGAGAGGTGGGAAGGAGAGAGGTTAAAAGCTGTTGTGGCTTAGGCAGCCCCTGCAGGGCCCCAGAGGTGCTGGTACACACGGTGTACAGCGTCAGCATGCCTGAGAAGGCACGCCAAGCATTTGCAGCCTCTCTGGCATGCCGAGGGCTCATGGAGATCCCCTGCCCCTCCTTGCTGCCCCAGGCCTGTATCATTTGCCCTGGGCAAGCTGCCCACAGCTGTTCACCCAGAGGCTGCAGGGATCTCCATGTCCTCTTTGCAAAAAGGTGTCAGCTGAAGCTTCCTCTTTGCCACGTGGCTGCTTGTGCCACCTTACAAGCTGAGCCACCCTTCCACGTGGCCGGCCAGCACGTGAACTGTTCTTGCCCAAAAGCACGAGGCAGTTGCCAGTCTGGAAATCATAACTTCCCTGCTGTAGAGCTCTCTCTTTCACTTGCTCCAGAGCCATGATGTTCTTGTTTTGGCTCAGCAGCGGTCTGGGTTCTGTGAACAGCTGGCATAATTAGGGCTTTTGGTGCCACTTGCTCATCATGGGCATTGAAACCCTTTGCAAATTTCTCTATAAGAAGTAGGTCAACATAAACACTCTCTTTGGAAAGAGGAGAAGCACAGAGAATTAATTAACTTGCTTGGTGTTGCAGAGCTAGGCAATGGCAGTGCTGTCAGAAAGCATCCCCCGGTCCTGAGGGAAGCGGGGGCTCTTGCAGCAGGGTGCTCCTCCTCCCTGCTGGGCACGATTGAGAGGCTCTATCCAGCAGCTGGCTGGTGCAGCCTGCTTGTCTGCTGGCTGTGTGATAAAGCTCCCATCCTTACAACCTTACAGCTCACGGTTGCTGATGCCTGGATGTTTGCAGCCACTGCCTATTTCAAAGCAGCAGATGCTGGCAGTGATGTAACCAGGTACTAAAAATAGCACGAGGAAGAGTTCCTGAAGCAGCATGAGAAACTGCAGAGAAGGGATAGATGGGAAGACTGAATTCACAAGAAATTACATTCCCAATCAGTGCTGATTCAGTCTATTCACTTGGCATTGCCTGGAGTGCTGCTGCTGCAGGGGCAATGGGCCAGGAGCGCTTGCTGCTGCCAGCTCCCTGGGTCCTGCAGACCTGATGGAGCTTGTTCATCCCAGTTGGGAAACAGCTCTGCTCATCCCCATCCTTCCCAACTCTCATGTGGGTCTTCTGGCTTGCATTCTTATCCATGGAGAGCTGGTTAGGAAAGCTGGTGGAGAAAACCATAGCTGGATGGTAGAGAAGGACTGAGATTCTTCATCAAGAGACAGCAAGTTGCGAATCACAGCCATGGACACGCAGGTTACAGCATTTTTTTGGGACTGATCTGCTAGCAAGTGAAGCAAGCTGCTTGGGAAGCCCCATGAACTAACTGTGGAACCTGCAGTAGCTCAGCCCATTCTTCTGTGGTGCCCATCAGATGAAGCTGAGCTCCCCCCCAGGCCATGGTCCCAAGGGGACTCGGTCATGGGAGCTCACAGCCCCTGCCAGCCTGCCCTGCAGTACTGTGGGCTCTGCCTTCAGCACCATCAGCTCTTCAGGGGGAACAAACCCACTGAAGGGAAGGATTTTGCACTTCCATGACTAAAGAGATTTAGTTGTATTTTTTTTTATATGAGCTAGACCTCAGAGTTTTCCCCTTCAAGGTGGGATGAAAATGCTTAACTGCTAAAAGGCACATGGAGTTATGCTTTGACTTCAACAGCATCATCTCCTCCTTGATGACTGCAGTAACATGCATGATTGCTCAGGGGGAAACCAACAGGAGGAGCAGGCAAGGGGAAGGAACAGGAGGAAACCCACATCCAAGCTCCTCCACAGGAGATAAAATGCAAGAGCAATGTGGGGAGTGCCTCTGGGGGCACACTGAGGGGTGGAAGGGAAAAGGAGGGAGGCTTTGCTTTCTTCAGTGGGGCATTAGTGCCAGCGTGTCTGCAGCCTGAGCCTGTGTTTATTTGGTTTCTGCAGACTTGATGGGCAGGGGACAGAGCTGCTGGTGAGTCTGCTGTCACAAGCTGGAGCCACACTTGGTTTTTGTGAGGAAGGAGGCACTGCAGACAACACCTGGCCCACCTGCAGCAAGATAGATCGTGGTGAGTGAGGCATCAGAAGCACTTTCCTTCCTGCACAAAAGGCACCCTGTGATGTGTGAAATACAGACAGTCCCCTTTCAATTGCTATTTCTGCCAGCTTTTATTTCTCTCATTTGACTTACTGATGTAAAATCTTGCAAGCATTAAATCTGTTGAATGGGGATGAGAAGTTTTAACCAATTCTTTACTTGAGGTACTCAATGAGGGATGTCTGCAGCTGCTGAGACAAAGCTTTTGACCTTCTCTTGCCCGCAGACACCTCCCAAAAGGTCTGCTGAGACCAGCCCTGATCCCACAGAAGAGGGAGCAGGATTTGTGTTTTACCTCTGGGCTGTGCAAAGTGGCTGAAGAAGTGAAAATGGTATTCAGAGGCAGGGGTGGCAGGTTTAAAGCAGCTGAAGGACAAGCTTATATTGATTGATGTTTATAGCTGAACTAACTTACTCCTGCCCTAAATAGTCTGCACTGAGCAGTGCTGGTGACATTTTGGCAGTACCAGGTGGGTAGGTGTGGTGGGGCGTGTGTCTGTGGGACACCAGCCAAAGCCCAGTATCACTCAGCTTGGGAAGCTCCCAGAATGTTCACTGGAGGAGTTTCAGCTCTTAGTCATGCTACTGTGCATGCTGGGGAGGTGGGCCTGTTTGCTGAAGGCAAAATCATGAAACTGTGACCATATAGAGGGCAGAGAGCAGAGCTGCTGGGCAAGGTCTGGGTGCCCCAACCAAGATTGAGGTCTCTGGCCAAAGCCTGAAGAAGAAAGTGCAATCCCAGACACAGGGATCTGGCCTTAAGCATGATAAAAATTAGTACTCCACAAATAATAATACAAATGGAGATAATTAATCTGGCCTGCTGGAACAGCCTTTGTACCACTGCCTGGCCCTGTGGGATGGAGAAAGGAGCAGAGGGACTTACCAAGGAGTGCCTAAGGGAGGCTCAGAAGAAGGAGAATCAGCAAGTGAAGATGCAGGAGATCAGGCACTGGGGGATGGGGCTGCCACAGCCTAGAGCACAAGAGGAAACTGAAACTGCCAGCTCTTCCTGGCTTCAGCTGCAGCTGAGATGGTCGCCCACGGAGCACCGCAGCACTGGCATGGGAGGCAGGAGTAAGGAGCTGACCCAAACCTTTGTGTGTTTGGGTTTTCACTCTAGCTGCAGTCTGCTGCCCCAGCCACAGCCCACCAGCCTGACAGATTCCCAGTACAGCCTCCCAATAGTGCTGGAAGACCATGTGTGGGTGATGTCACTGTGCCAGAGTGGCCATGGCTGTATACCTCCAGTGTTACCAGTGCCCACCAGGAGCTGGGGTCCTATCTGTGCATTTAAAGGCTTTGCCATGTCCAGCAGGAAAACTTAGGAAAGGTTGTATGGATAAAACCCTCTCTCTGCCCTCTCCTAACCTTTGGGAACTTGCTATCTCTGTATTGTTCTTTTAATGTGTTTTTTGGCAAGTTGTTTCATCCTACAATAGCACATGAATTCTGCCGTGGCAGCAGATCAGTAGGTAGGAGTCCCACTGGAGAGTTACAGCCTGGGCAGACAGGACTGGTGAAGGGAAGGCAGTGAGAGGACACGGCTGTAACTGGCATTTTGTTGTCAGGAGACCAAGACAGATCTCTGTTAGCAGCCCATGGACACTGTTTCCAGCGTGTTGTATGGCAGATGGGTAAGACAAACTTTCTGAGGCTGGGGATCTCATCTGAAACCCACAGGAGTGGATTTGGGAGTGGGTCTGTGAAGAGTCCCTGTTCACCTTGAGGCTGAAGATCTCCTGTGTCAGGCTAGGTAGTGGTTTGCGTGTGTCCCTGGCTCAGAGGCAGCTCTTTGTTGCTGCCCTCTTTTCTGATTGCACTCCTTCCTCTTCCCCAGGCAGCAGAGCAGGCTGCAGCAGGACATGGGCACAAACAGCCAGCTCAGACTCCTGCAGGAGCCCAACAAGCACAGGCACCTGGGCTGCCACACTCAGTCCCTTCCCAGCAGTGCGCTGCTGCTGGCCCCATTACCAACATAGGTGGCTCACAGGTGCTGTCTGCTTGCCTGATGCACAGCCAACAAATTAAACCTTAAACCATAAATTACCAATGGTTTTTGCCTGTGGTCCCTGGGTCTGGTCAGATTAGCTGAAAGGAACTTGGGGTGGAGAAAACCCTTTGCATTAATCATAGCCTTTTTCAGGAAAGCACTGATGCTTCACCTGCAGTCCCTCACACCTTACCTGGTGGAGCAGCTGCTGTCACCTCTACATCCCTGTAGTTCTTGAGAAATTGCAGAGCCATGCCTCTATCCAGTAAACAAAGTCCAGTTGTGTTTTTCTTATGTGACCCATCCATCAATATGTAACTGCTCAGGAGAAACAGAAAGTGCTGGCTTTGCTGCTGCCCTATGCCAAAATAGCCCAATGCATTGCTATCCTTCTTCTCCTAGCTCCATGCCCATAATTACTATTTTTGACCTTGGGAGGACTGAAGACAGAGCATGGAATCTATTTCCATGCAAGACACCTTGATGATGTTTCCCTGCTACTTCGTGAAGCACTGTCCTCCTTTAGTGGCCTGGCTTTTTCAGTCCTGAATCAGACACATCCTCTGATGAAATGTTTTGCAAGCAAATAATAGCTAGAACCACGTGAATTAATTTGAGCTACCACAGGCACGTAAAAATGGCACAGACCACACCATGTAGACAAAGCATGGAATTAAGATTGTTGATGGGGAATATGCAGTTAGAACATTGTATTGGGTTGAAACTGGATTGGAAAGAAGTGGTTGAATTTTGGGAGGTTTATAATTATTTGATTCAGGGTCTTGGTTTTCATATAAATGAAATTTTGCAACCCTCAAATGGTAAGAATAATACTGAATTATTTTGACTGGGAATTTTACACCAGTCCATGCCCTCTGTAAAAGGTTAAATTCTTAGCTCCTTAGGAAGGGATATGAAAAAAATAAAAATGCATTAACTTTATACTTGAAGGTGTGTCCTCTGGATTGTGAATTTGACAGACCAGGAGGGAGAAGCTTACTCTGCTGCTTCCTGTATTGTACCAGTTCAGTAAATAACAGGAAGTGCTTGTTCTTTTAAACTGTCTGTCTGGCACTTAATTGTACATATGTGTATATATACACAGTGTACACAAGGGAGAGGAAGGTGTTTGTGGAATGGGAACATTTGTTGCCTATTTGTTTTGTGAATGCTGTAGGCAGTGGGGGAAACTGCCTGCATGAGCAGATCTTCACAGGCTTAAGTGCATCTTCTTTGTCCTGGCCATGAGGAGGAGGGTTGAGTTGCATTGCTATTGCAGTGACTCCTGCAGCTACAGCTCCTTACCTGGCCTCACACAATTTTTCAGGGGAAAATGCTTCACAAAGTGCTGTGGGGTCACCTGGACTGCAGGGTCACTGGCCACGCAGCCAAAGGATCAGCCTGCCTTGTGTGTCTAGGAGCACAGCTAGCTGGAGGTTCATCCTGGACCTGATGGGATGGGGGGCTGGAAGATTAGGAAGTGACTCTAGGACATGTGCAGGCAAGAGCAGTGTGGGAAGGAAAGGCTTGCCAAGCTGAACTCAATGCTGACATCTTATTACAGGCATGAACTGTATCAGGGAAGCTGATCGTGGAGGAGGTAGGAGATGCCAAGTAACTTGAATAGGCTGGAATTACTCCCCCGCTAATTAAGAGGAACGCAAAGAAGTGCAGCAAGGAGTGAGGTTTGAGGAAACCTATTGCTGCTGTGAGCATGGGGGAGTATTCCCAGCCTCTGGTGGGCCCATGCAGCCACCCACTGGGGAAGGGTCCCATGGTCACCTCAGATCTCCTCTCCCTGCAGCAAAGGAACATAAATCAGATGTGAGCCTGGGCTAGCTCTGGACTTGTAAAAACAGATTAAAACTGTGTCAATGTCCAGTCATAACTGCCAGTCAGATTTCTTCAGCAAATTACAGACCTGCCTTCTCAAGTTCAGCTTCAGCCCAAAGAGGCATAGATTTGAAACAAAATTTTAATATTCAAGGGAAGTTGTCAGGTTTAAATGGTGAGAGAGACACACAAAACCAGATTTTTATATTAAGGTAATCATGATGGTACCAGCCAGATAAATGAGAACACTGTCACCAAGCAGGCCTGCTTGGCTTTGACTGTCAGTCTGATGAACAAGAGGCATATTTTATGCAGTGAGAACTATGGGGTATAATTGTCTCTTACACAAGACTCTAGCCATGCTTTTACTTTAGAGCAATTAGAAGCCAGAGATCTCTTGCCCTCTAAACCTCTTTGGTGAACCAGTGCTCACCTCCCCAAACCAAGGAGCCATTCCTGAGCTGGAGAAGCCCAAGGCCCACACACAGGCAGGCAGCTGGGAAGCAGAACTGGGAGGTTTGAGCAAGATGCCCTATGCAGCTCTGCCTTGGCAGCTCAGAGCCAGAAAGGCTGGGTCCCCTCTAGAAAAAAAAGGATGCCTGTTGCTGGGTGTGTTGTACAGCAGAAGTGTGGTGGCTTGTGTGGCTTTTAGCCCTCTGACCTTTATTTAAATGAAATGCAGAGTAATTTGTATCTAAGTGGAGTTGTTCTGTCTCATTAGTGTGATTAAATAGATGGCAGAGCGTTACTAAGTTCATTGTCAGAGAGACTGTTGCTTAGTAATTTAAACTGCAATTATCTCATTATTCTTTTTTCCTTACAACGAGGGTGGCTGTTGTTAGCCGCAGTTCACGCTTTGCATTCAAACCTTGACGACTGTGATTGCATTTTGAGCATCAGCCACTGGCCTGAAAAAGTCATCCAGGGTAAGGCCGAGTGGGGGGAGGCTCCAGGACCTTCAGCTGCGTTTGCCTGAGATTTGTGACGTACAGAACCAGAAGCACGGGATGTGCAGCGAGCTCAAGCACACAGTTCTCCCCTGCCTCAAGGGCTGTGCAGATGTTCCTCCTCCTCAGCGGGCGAGCTGCGCTGCAGCCCTGCAGCCATGCCCCGGGCCCGTCCCAGCTGACCACCGTGTCGCACACAAATGGTTTTCAGCAGGCACCGAGGGCAAGTTAGGAGAGCCCGTCCAAGGGTGCTGCGGCCCGCGGAGGTGGGAGACAGGTCAGGGAGGTGAACGGGACAGGCGCCAGCCTGTGCGTGCCTGGGTGGTGCCTCCAAGCTCGGGGCCACAGCAGCTGCCCGG